TCCTTAACATTAAAAACCATGAGTGCAGATCTGCCCTAGGTTACACCCCCTCAGCTTTGGGAAAAGAGGAAATAAGTGTCATTTCCTATTCCTCTTTCTCTCTTCTCTTTGAACCATGTAACTGAGCAGCTGCCTGATGCTGTGACTCCATCCCCAGACCACATGTTTGAGACTAACTTCTGAATTTTGTAAGCAAGAATACCTTGCCTATATTGTTTCTGATGTAGCAGCAAATGATGGGTGAGTAAGACCTGTTATTGCTGTAAGTAAAGCATTTAAGCTTACATAAGGTTGTGGTCAATTCACTCTGAGAGGGGTACAGGTGTGGGGAGCACAATTGTGAGTGCTTAATACCAAGACATTTAAAGGTTTGTTGTTGTTGTTTAGTCTTTTAGGCGTGTCCGACTCTTCGTGACCTCATGGACCAGAGCACGCCAGGCACTTCTGTCTTCCACTGCCTCCTGCAGTTTGGTCAAACTCATGCTGGTATCTTCGAGAACACTGTCCAACCATCTCGTCCTCTGTCGTCCCCTTCTCCTTGTGCCCTCAATCTTTCCCAACATCAGGGTCTTTTCCAGGGAGTCTTCTCTTCTCATGAGGTGGCCAAAGTATTGGAGTCTCAGCTTCAGGATCTGTCCTTCCAGTGAGCACTCAGGGCTGATTTCCTTCAGAATGGATTGGTTTGATCTTCTTGCAGTCCATGCAAGAGTCTCCTCCAGCACCATAATTCAAAAGCATCAATTCTTCAGCGATCAGCCTTCTTTATGGTCCAGCTCTCACTTCCATACATCACTACTGGGAAAACCATAGCTTTAACTATACGGACCTTTGTTGGCAAGGTGATGTCAGCAACCTATATTTTGCTTTGCGAATGCTACACGTATTTCTGTTTCAAACTCTGCTGAGGGCTCTTTTGACTAGAGAGTGAGTCAAGCCCTCACTTTCTTTGAATTCAGGAAGTTAGCTGTTGTTTCTTTTGCAGTTTCTCACAAATGTGGAAATTCCCCCAATTATTTCCTAACAGCAGTGCTCCCCCCCAAAAAAGAAATGTTTAGGGGCACTCTCAATTTGACTCAAGAAAATCACCATTTTATAGTTCAAATCAGGAAATATAAATACAGTGAATGGACAAAAGTACAAAGATTCACAAAATGTTTAGGGGTATGTGTACCCCTGTGTGTGTCCCCCGAAAAAAAGCACTGCCCAACAGTAACCCTTATTTACCTGGCATCTGGATTTCCTATACCAGAGTCTCCTCAGAAGCTAGATTTCATAGCTCTGTAGGCTAATCTTCTGTTTAAGATTAGCTTAACATTGTCACCACATCAGTTTGCTCTATATGCTGATAAAGCTTAGTTCAGCTAGTAGGTGTGCAGAAAGCCAGGCTGGAGGAGGCTGCTGTCCTATCTAACAGAGCTACTGGATTTGCTTAAAACAATTCAGCCGGGGGCCATGGTAGAGACGGAGAAATACTTAAACAGGATATTTCCCTGAAGACTTATGTTTCCTGCCTCTCCATTCCACCCCGGACCTAGTTATAGACTGCATGCATTAGCTAGGTTGGAGGTGCAAATGCACCCCATAGGAATACTCTTATTTATTTTTCATGGGATAATTGCTAAGTTTGAATAATGCATGCTGCAGCTAGGTTAATGAGTAGGAAAACAATGTCTAAACATGATCTGGTAGCACTTTCTCATTGTTTCTGTGATTTGACAGAAGAAGCAAATTGGAATCGGCGTCACCAGATAAGACACATCTCCCCTTCCCTCCAGTGGATTAAAAAATAAATAAATCTTCCTATTTACCCCACTCCCCTCAAAATAATTAATGTAAATATGTGAAAGTCACAATAACAACTTGTTTTCTAAGGTTAAACACTGTGTCCTTCACAGCTAAATACTGTGATCCAAAAAAAAAGAAAGACAACATACCAACATACTAATATACTTAGGTAAAGGGTAAAGGGACCCCTGACCATTAGGTCCAGTCGTGACCGACTCTGGGGTTGCGGCGCTCATCTCGCTTTATTGGCCGATGAAGCCGGCGTACAGCTTCCGGGTCATGTGGTCAGCATGACTAAGCCGCTTCTGGTGAACCAGAGCAGCGCACGGAAACACCATTTATCTTCCCGCAGGAGAGGTACCTATTTATCTACTTGCACTTTGACGTGCTTTCGAACTGCTAGGTGGGCAGGAGCAGGGACCGAGCAACTGGAGCTCACCCCGTCGCAGGGATTCAAACCACCGACCTTCTGATTGGCAAGCCCTAGGCTCTGTGATTTAACCCGCAGCACCACCCGCATCCCAACTAATATACTTAAACTATGTAAAAATGAGAACATTTAATTAAATGCCAAGTCACCTGTGCTTAATGTACGTGACTATATCAATCCTATAATAGGTTTTTTTCTCCTGCAGTTCCCCCATGCCAAAAAAAGTTTGAAAAAGTGAAAATCCAGACACAAAAGGAGTTGTTGTTGGGGTTTTTTTGGAAAATCTCCCCCCCCCCCAAGGTTTTTGGGGGGAATTCAAAAATCAAAAAACCAAACCAAACACTTCTGATATTGGCTGCCATACAGCTGGATTTTCCCAGACATTTTAACCAATTTCTGAAAATTCTGGCTGGATGCTATTTCAGGCGGACGAATCCTGGATACATCTGGGAAATTCCGGACGTATTTGGCTTGGGCCAAACTTGGTGAGCAGCAAGTCGCTGCCTGCATGATCACTGTTCTTCACAATACATCAAGCTCCCACATGCTGCTCTTTAGAGTCTCTTTCATGCCAGCAGTGGCGATTGTCGGTTTCGTATGTAAGCTTGCAATTACGGCAGGCAGATTCAATCAGCCTCACCTTTCCTAGTATACATGTGTGTTCAATGCGACCTGCATGTGCTGCAGAAATCCTGATAAATGAATGGTCCATGTGCTCATCAACCTGTAGATTTTATCTACACTTTGATCATTTTTATTATGTCTGCTTGTTTTCAAAGCCTATTGACCTTATCAATATTTTAGCATGAATAGTTTGTATTCTTTTATGTTAACCACTTATAGCGTATAAATAGGAGAGTGCAAAATATGGTTTGAAGCTCAGCATCAAAAAAACAAAGATCATGGCCACTGGTCACATCATCTCCTGGCAAATAGAAGGGGAAGAAATGGAGGCAATGAGAAATTTTACTTTCTTGGGCTCCATGATCACTGCAGATGGTGACAGCAGCCACAAAATTAAAAGACGCCTGCTTCTTGGGAGAAAAGCAATGACAAACCTAGACAGCATTTTAAGAAGCAGAGACATCACCTTGCCAACAAAGGTCCATATAGTTAAAGCTATGGTTTTCCCAGTAGTGATGGGAAGTGAGAGTTGGACCATAAAGAAGGCTGATCGCCAAAGAATTGATGCTTTTGAATTATGGTGCTGGAGGAGACTCTTGAGAGTCCCATGGACTGCAAGAAGATCAAACCAATCCATTCTGAAGGAAATCAGCCCTGAGTGCTCACTGGAAGGACAGATCCTGAAGCTGAGACTCTATACTTTGGCCACTTCATGTGAAGAGAAGACTCCCTGGAAAAGACTCTGATGTTGGGAAAGATGGAGGGCACAAGGAGAAGGAGACGACAGAGAACGAGATGGTTGGATAGTGTTCTCAAAGCTACCAGCATGAGTTTCACTAAACTGCAGGAGGCAGTGGAAGACATGAGTGCCTGGCGTGCTCTGGTCCATGGGGTCATGAAGTGTCGGACACGACTAAACGACTAAACAACAACAAAGTATATGATGAACGAAAATTACTGTGTGAAAATCCAGTAGGGGGAGCAATGGAAAAGAGATGAGTTGGGACTACCTATTTTGCCTAGTGGTCTTCCCCTTCTCCAGCCCCTGGCCCCTGGGCAATGGCTCTTTGTGTACCTGTATCTACCTGTACCAGAAGCAGATTCCATTTTTGAAAGCTAGCTTTTGGGATATGAAACCTAACGCTCATTAAAAGTGTGAAATATTCCCCTGGAAAAACATGTGGCAAACATCGTAAGGATTTTAGCTTTTAAAATTTTAGTTTATGTAGCAGTGTATCAGCGCTAAATCTCTGGTGGATTTTGTGATATGAAATGTGGGAATTCAAAGACACACACACACACACACCACCTTAATTTTCAGAAATTGGTACTATATAACACACGATTCCAATTTCATCTGACTACAAGGTTGGAGTGGGTGGGGGGAGGAAGAAATCAACATCAGTATTCGCTTAATTGCCAAAGGGAAATAAAATTACAAAGTTTAGTAATCCTATAAAAATCTGCACTGTTAGGTAACAGCTTAAAAAATCCAGGCTCTCCAATGTGAAGTTATTATACTCCGGAGTCTCACAAAAGCTATCGGAAGAAAGCAATACAATCAAACTGCAAGAAGCTGCGACTTGGGGATGAGCAAAGGAATAGCAGGCAACAAAAATGGAATGGCTATCAGGACAAAAGAGGGGAACACGTAATGCTGTTGAGCTACTGTGCTTTGCAGAAATAAAAGGGTTCTGAGATGGACTGGATGAGTTCTTTATATTTTGTTATGCAGATCTATGAATTGCATTTGAATGCCTTATGAGCCACCAAATCTCTGACACCTCAGGGACACATTTCTCTCATGGACTAAAAAAAGGAAGCTCCCTTTACTTCCGCACCCCAACAATTTCCTTTCAGTGCCTATTCATGTATTATTTTGATGTACGCATAAGTGCAGAGAGCCACAATAGGGAACCTTCAGCCATTTGGCCCACAGAATGGTTTGGCCCAAACCACACCCACCTGTCAATCACCTGGCATTGCTAAGTGCTTTCCTTTGCAGCTGCTGATATAGTTCAGTTGTTGTTGTTGTTGTTTTAATCTGACGCTTTCTTCCTGTCACCCTGCAGTGACAGAAAAAAGTGCCAAATTCAAAGAGCGGCAAATGACAGCTGGAAAGGAAAAAAATTGGCAGTGTACTGAGAGTGCACTCCCGATTCTACCTTTGCATCCATAGCATGGATTCAAGCTGGGCTTGAAAGCGGAAAAAACAATCATTGGCAGGTACATCTTGAGCAAGGGGCATCTGCAAAGGAAGAAAGTAAGAGCAGGGGGCACTTACTTAAAATTCAGTAATCTTGGGTTGCCATATTTCAAACAGTGAAAATCCGAACAGAAAAGTTGTTTTTGAGCGTGTGGGTTGCCATACGTCCAGATTTCCCCAGGCATTTTTAGTGATTTCCACCTGGACACTGCTTCCAGCTCCAGTATTCTGGATATGTCTGGGAAATTCTGGACATAGGGCATCCCTAAATAATCTGGTGTCAGAAGATTAACAGTCCAAGAACTGGCCATCCCAATCCATTTTTCCCTACTGCTGAGTAAGGAGCAGGGCTGTGCGTGTAATCTCCAACATCACATTTATTTCTTTCAGCGACTGTGTGTTGTGCACAATTGCGTGCAAAGAAAGCCCAGCATGCAAGCTTGAGTGTAGGCCTCTGTCTGATTGGGGTAGCTTTGTGCAACCGATTGGGACTTTCTACAACCAGAGCATCTACTCAAGCAGGTGTCACAATCATGTGAGGCCACCGATTGTGAAGCAGGAGCCCCCTCGCTGAGTTTTCTTTTCATACAGCTTGTGTGAACCAGAACCCCACAGACGATGTGAGCCTACGTCATGTCCAAATTTGCTTCTAAACACATGTAATTAGCATGAGCAAATTTTATGCAACCCTATGACTTCCTTTGCCATCTTCTTCAGTGAGACATTTCCTCTTTGTTGGCAATACATAAGGGGGTACCCTAATTCTGCATGATAATCCAATTTCAGGGGTCCAACTGCCCCTTCCCCTGAACTGAAAAGGAAGGCCCTGTGGGCAGGGCTTTATTTCAGCCAGAACTTTCCGGAACTCAGTTCCGGCACCTCTCTGGTCCCTTTGCCATTCTAAGAGAGTGAGGGAGGTGTTCATGGTGAGTTCTGGCACCTCTTTTTATAGAAAAGTAGCTCTGTACATGGATAGTTGTGGGTTGTCAGAGTGCATATTCTAGCATTAATGCTCAAAAGAAACCAGCAGGTTGAGGAGTATGTATGTATCATTCATTGTTTTCATATTTGTCCATAACCTTTATTTTCCACCTCTACATTCTGATGTATTACTTTTATTTTAGAGCCCACACTTTGAATACTACAGAGTCGTAAAAATCCATTTATGATGCTGTTGCTTCGGAAGTTTAGTGGACCATCTAATCAGCCATATAAGGCTTTTCAGTAGGTTTCTGAGCCCGGGAATGTATAGCACACATAAAATAGCAGTTCTCAGTAGGGAATATTACAATCTTTAGAATCACACATACTTTTTATTACACCCTTTAAAATTTTATGCTATGTATATACGCCAAGGAAAAAAAATGCAAGAGAATTGTATAGCATTAACCTATTAATTTTTCTTTAAAATTTCTACTTCATGACTTCAATTCTGAAGCTGTGGGGGAAAGAACTCCTTATTCCCTGGTCTGAAACCATTCCTACCTTTCAAGGTAGTTTTAGGTCATTTAAAAAAGAAGTTTGTTGCTACTTGAAATAACCAAGTGAGCTTCCGAGAAATAGGTTGAACTATATTTTAAAAAATGAAGATTCTTTCTTTGCGTGGACAGGCGGAGTCCCCAGATCCCGAGCGGTCCCCCCCGTCGTGTGGAATAACGACTCAAGACAAGGTGCTATGGGATTAAATTGGCCACAACTTTATTAAATTTCAAATGTGGGTAGACCTTGGCTCAGGCATTGGGCGTTCTCCCTCGCCAGTCCCCAGCCAGGGACCTAGGGAGCTTCAGGGTTATCCAGTGTGTGTGGGGGGGGGGGCCGGCTCTGGAGAACATATGTTCAAGCAGAGATAGCCGCCCCCGTTACGCCGCCGCCGCAGGGGAGAGTGATGACGACCTTTCGGCGTACGGTCAAAGCCTCCCTTCAGAAACCCCTTTAACGGGGAACCCTGGTATCGCTGCCGCAAAGAGGAAGATGGACTAAAGGATTCCACCCAAGGCCTGATACCGCCAACGTTGTGACGTTTTGCTACGGGAAAGGCGAAACCTGCCAATGCAGGGAAATTCCTTTCTGGCCCTTTAACAGCGACCTTATTGTAGCAGCACCCACATACCTGTGAAGAAAAGTTAACCTGCAAAACCTATGAAGAAAAGTTAACCTGCAAAGGAAGACATTAACTGAGGGTGGGTAGGGTGGGAGAAGCTCTGGAGCCAAGTGAGGATTCCCAGGTAAGATCCTCCCTCTATTGTGTGGGCCTCTCATTTCCTATGTACCTTCACTGCATTAAAAGATACCTGTCTTCTTTCTAGGGATGCTTGAATAATTCTATCTTTATTTTGCATACTTATTCTGTTTTATTGGGCTTCTGTACCACTCTTCAGGAAAGGCTGCCTCTCAAAGCGACTCACAATAAAATAAACATATAACAATAAAGCATTTAGAACTAGCATGAAACAAAGCAGGTCACTTAAAACTAGGACCTAACTTGCGGCATCCTAAATATTTGCAAATTTCACCATAAACTGACCTGATCTGCAACCCCTCCACCACACCAACTGATCTGTAGGTCAGAACGTAGTTATCCTTCAGGGTGTTGTATTTCTCCAAATTTTGTGATGCAGTTTTCAGCTCAAAAAAAGGCATTGCGCTGCATTTTAAAATGTGTATTTGGAGAGAACATATGTTTAGAGATGTTTACAACTTTGCGGGGGAAAATATTTGAAGATATGCATTTAAATGAGATTTTTTTGTGCATTTTAAAAAATAAAACAATCAAGGATTAATGCTGAAAGGGGGTGGAATGGACTTATCAGCAAAGACATGTAAAAGTGACATCATCAAACTGTGCTTTAAGTAGCAGCTGAAATTCTTTTTCAAAAACCAGCTTTGGGTGAGAAAAGAGCTTTGTTTAAAGGGGCCCATCACTTCTAATAGGTAGAGAAGATTGTGGTGAGCTGGAGTTCTCAGGGTCAGAGGGAGTCAATGAGCCATCCTCAAGCAAGAGAAGCACTGGCAATATGGGCTACTCTAGTGCAAATGTTTCTGGTTGCTTATATACCGGTATCTCTTCCACTCTGAATCTCTGGCCTCATCCCCTGATGGAGTGGAGTCTGGTCCTAGGGTCGTTACAGGTACCAGTATTGTCTTTTCTCAAATCTTCCTATCTCCTGGAGCACAGGTATACCTTACAGTGATTGGTCAGAGCCATCTGCTAGGTTTGAAGCTTCATGTTGACCACCAATTGGCTCTCACCATTCTCCATTAAATATGCAGCCTTGCATTTTACCTTCTAGGTGTGTAAGAAGAAGGGGGGAAATGTTGCATCTTTTCCATAGTGCTTTAGTCACAGCTGGAAATGAAAACCTGAAAGATAAACTTTATGATAGCAACTAATATTACAAATTGTAATACCGCCGGGTAATTCATAGAAGCCATGGAAAAGAACATACGGTAAGCCTGTTTTTCGAGCAAATGACTTATTCATGAGTGTTCCTAATTCAAACTCTTTGTCCATGAATATTCATGGATTATGCCTGTGTAACTGGATATTGTAAAGAATCTGGGTTAATTACAACAGAGGGTCTCTGCTGGCATTTACACAGTGGTCGTTGGGAACAAGTTGGAAAGCCTTCTCCGAGCCCCAGCTGCAAGGGCTTCATGTGATTCGGAAATTGTGCAGAGGTCAACAAAGCAAACATTGCAGAAATGTTTTGAGGGCTGCAGATTACTGGCATCCACCTGATCAATTTGTAAAAAGGACATCATTATGCTGCAAATATTACACAATCATTTTTCAGGCATTTGTGGACAGACAGTCCTAGGTGCACTGAGATCAAAGAGGCCTTACAGCTATGTGCCATTAGAAGCTGAGTCAAATCCTTTCCCTTGTAGCCTTGGCGTGACTCCAAGGATTTGGACTGGAAAAAAGGGAAAAGAGCCTTTGCTATAAATGTGAGCAGAGGTTGGCACTCTGAAGACTCGCTGGCCCAATGTTCTCAACCGGAGGCAGGGTTACACAATTAGCAAATGAAAATTTCTAATCAGTTCTCCATCTGTTCTCAATCCTATTAGGACCTCCCATCTCACTTGGGGATATTATGCGTTTGGCACTGCCTTCTCTTTGAGTCAGACTGCATGCCCAGGCCGTAGATTTGAGCTCCCATGGCTCTAAACCCCACATGACAATTCTCTGTACGTTTTTAAGAATAAGAAAAGGTGAGATTTTCCCCCCACACAGAGCACACAGGGGGGAAAGAAACATTTGGGTGCAAAGAACTTTGCATTGCAAAAACAATGAGCACTCACACTATATTGTGGGTGCCTTTTGCGGGATTGCGTGTGGTGCTACAGTTCCCTTGCTAGTAGAAGGGGGCTGGCCTGCTTCTCAGTGTATTATTCAGAGGTTCATGCCCAGCCTCAGCTTTAAGTTTCGTTTCCTGGGAAGTGGGGCCAGACTCATTATAAATAGGGGGAGGAGCCAGTATTAGCCAGCTCTGGAGATTCACCCTCCCTACCTTCCCTTTCTTAATGTTTCTTGTTTACAGGTTAACTTTTTCTTCCTGTTTAGCGGGCACTGCTATGGTCTTTGACTGGTTGCTGTTGAAGGACTGGGAATAAATTTTCCTGCATTGGCAGGTGTTGTCTTCCCCGTAGCAATTCGTCACAACTTTGGTGGTTATGGCCTTGGGTGGAATCCTTTAGTTCCCTATAATGGTGTGTGTGTGTGTGTGTGTGTGTGTGTGTGAAGTGGTGACTCACCCCCCTGTGGCGGCAATTCCAGGGTCCCCTCTTAAAGGGGTTACATAAATGGGTGTCACTGGCCATACGCTGAAAGGTTGTCCGTGAACTACCCCGCGTGTGGGGATATGGGTTCGGCTGCCTGCCTACACTTATGTCGCGCAGAGCACCCCCATATCCCATTTACCCTGATGAGCCCCAGTTCCCCTCGGCTTTGGGGCTGGGAGGAATACACGCCCAAGGCCTAAGCCAAGGTCTTCCTACATTCAGAAGTTTAATAAGGTTGTGGCCTAATTTTAATTCCATAACATTGTCAGAGTCTTTGTTTCCTTTTTCCACATTCCCTGGGGGCTGGGGCTGTCATGCCTGGTCACACAATAACCTTTTAAAGCTGCAGATATTTTGTATTGGGGGGGATCCTTTTGGGGTCATTCAGAAGGTGGTGGACTGAGATTTTCATTCATAGGCATATTTACGGTGCAATCATGTCTACATAGAAGTAAATCAAATTTAATTCTGTGAGACTCCAAAGTGAATGCACATAGGGCTACAACCTTAGGGGTTCACCCCTACTAAAAGAAACAAAATAAGTTTTGTGGCCCAATCTTTCACATGTTTACTCACCCCTGTCCATTTTGAATAAGAGACATGGTCATTATGCAGATAGTAAGCAACTAATTTTGCACTATTTTCGGAGCACATATCCATAGTATAATCACAATCTTTCTTCTTTGTTGTTTACCGGCTTCAACACATCCTAGGATCAACTACAGACTTCCGCTAATCTAGGCCAAATGTTGTGTTAAGTGACAGCAACTTAAAAGTGGGATTATATTTCTAATACGAATATTGAACCACATGGTTGCTCGGTGCCACCAGTGAGCAACATCTGGCTCATCTAAGACTTTATAGAACCTTTATTCTCAGTAGTAAGAGAACTCACAGGTGGAGAATACTTTTCTTTCTACACATCTTCATTATTTGTAAAGGGAATATTTGCGTGAGTTAATACTTCATTATCCCTTTGGAGCTGTGCTTTTCTTTTGGATTTCCATTTTTCCAAGTGTCTGCAACACTTTGTAACTTATATTTCTTTTCGTTCTTCATTTTCTTTCTTTTCATTATGTTTGCACTTAAAAAAAAATCAATAAAAAAGAGGGATTGCTCTGTTGGGGGAGGGGGTAGACTGTGTTTGGAGCGCTAAGAACATCATTCCATGCCGTCTAATTTACGTTACCTGTAGTATAAAGAGTCAACATGTGGATTCAGAGGGTATTTTTAAAATGGTAATATATCATTGTTTCCCAAGGGATGCTACAGGAGGTCTTGTATTTCCACTTTATTTTCTGGTAACCTGAAGACTGTGAAAGCATGAGCAACCTTTGTTATTCAATTTCTGTTTGTTTTGTCAGGTGTGCGTGCTTAAAACATGAATCTACTGTATAGTAAAAAAAGAAATGAGAGAGGATGCCCAGCGAACTAGATTCAGAGGAGCTATTCCATTCATGGAGTGAGTCTCTTCATATACGTGAAGCCCCTTGAATCCAGCGAAGGCCTCCAATCTTTGCAGGGGGTGGGAGAATAAATGCCTCTACCCTTGTGGTTGACTGTGCATGTGAACATTCCCAGACTTTGTCTGGGATGGTCAGAATTCACATGTTGCTCTCTGTACAGTAGAACCTTGGTTCTCGAACTGAATCCGTTCCGGAAGTCTGTTTGACTCACGAAACCGTTCGAAAACCAAGGCGCAGCTTCCGATTGGCTGAGGGAGCTTCCTGCACTCAAGCGGAAGCCGAGTTGGATGTCTGGCTTCCAAAAAATGTTCAAAAACCGGAACACTTATTTTCGGGTTTTTGGCATTCGGGAGCCAAAACGTACAAGTACCAAGGCATTCAAGAACCAAGGTACAACTGTATTCTCATTCTGGATTTTCAGTGTAACATATTGATGAAAGTCCAGTAGTAGAAAGATTTAAAGTGCCAATTCTACTGTGTTTGTTGATGTGATGCAGTACTTTTCTTTCTGAGTGGGTTTATTGAAATGAGGGTTACCACTCATACAAAAAAAAGTGCCACTGTGTGCTGAAATGAAGTTAAAAATATTCATAAGTGGCTCTTTGCTTGATTGGGTGCCAGTTTTAAAACCAATTAAGATACTTACTTTGAAATATTTAACTGGGCGTTCAAAACTGAAGTTATCACCAAAAGGCCGTATTGCATTTCTCATTTTTATCAGTGTTTCTGTATAGTCTCTTGTTGTAGACACGAAGAGTCGAAGGCACCGCTCACATTTTGCGGCATTGGCAAAAGTCATATGAATTCCTAAGCAACATATGGCAGATCTATAAATGCTTATAAATAAAACTGTTGTGCATTGAAGTTATTAATAACTGATCAAGTCTGGACAAAGCCTCTCACCAAGCGCAGCCTAGTGGGATTGCGAAACACACTCGAGATGTGTGAAGGAAGGCAGTGTTGCCACCACCCAAGAATGTAGTGTGGAGCCAGCTGCCTCTCATTGTCCTTGGGGATTTGTATCTCCCATCACAGATTGGTGTCATAACGGACAAGAGTGAAGCCATACAAATTGAACAACTTTATTTATAGGGGTGGGGAGTGGTGGGATCAGCTTTGACAGGTGCTTGCTGCCTTCCGTTAGAAGATCTCCTATGTGTCCCACGATAGAGGGTTATAAAATTATGCATGGTGTATGGAGAGAGAGAGAGAGAGAGAGAGAGAGAGAGAGAGAGAGATCCACCCCCTCCCTTCCTCATAACAGAGCAGCTCAGGGTCATAAATGGATTGGAAGTAGATTTGAGACAAATAAAAGAATGTAGGTAAAGGTAAAGGGACCCCTGACCATTAGGTCCAGTCGTTACCGACTCTGGGGTTGCGGCACTCATCTCGCTTTATTGGCCGAGGGAGCCGGCGTACAGCTTCCAGGTCATGTGGCCAGCATGACAAAGTCGCTTCTGGGGAACCAGAGCAGCACATGGAAATGCCATTTACCTTCCCGCCAGAGTGGTTCCTATTTATGTACTTGCACTTTGATGTGCTTTCGAACTGCTAGGTTGGCAGGAAATAAAAGAATGTACTTCTTCACAATTCATTTATAGCAGGGGTGGCCAACTCCCGAGGGACTGCAATCTACTTTCAGAATTAAAATCTGACAGTGATCTACCCCCGTTTTTTAGGGGTTCAGGTCAAAGTTGCTGAGCTTTTTTTTAGAGGTGGGAAATACCCCACCTCTTTTTTTCTTTTTTGGGGGGAGGGACTTTTAAGGGGGAAGGGGATTAGTCGCTCAACAAGACAGCACTGTGAAAGCATTTTGCCTCACAGCAAAAACTCCATCTTCCATTACAGATATCAGGAGAAAATCCAGGCAGGGAAGAGGGGGCGAGGCAAAAGCAAAGGAAAATTAGCCTGCGATCGACAGCAATTGATTGCAACCTCCCGGGGATCACCCAGTTGATCCCGATTGACCTGTTGGACATCTCTGATTTATAGAATTCACAGACACAAGATGTGATGATGGCCACCAGCTTTAATGCCCTTAAAAAGTGGGCTAGGACAATTAATGGAGGAGGAGACATCCATGATGGCAGCTGTATGGGATGTCCATGTCTGGGGCAGCATGCCACTGGATCTCAATTGCTGAAGGGCTCCAGTGGAAGAAGGCTATTCTCTTCAAGCCCTTTGGGTTCTTGGATGAATGTAAGAACCCAGAGGGCTTGAAGGGAATATATATCCCAACTTTCGCCATATGGTCTTAGAGTGGCTTACAACAATAAATATGCAATATACAAAATTCAAAAACCACAAATTTAGCAGTTGGACACAACATAAACTCACTTTAATAAATAAAAAGATAAATGAAAGAGTAGATTATGTTACATTTATCCCTTGGGTTTTTTTCTGGGGGGACGCATTCCTCTAAACATATTGTGAATTCAAGTTTGGCTTCATTGAGGGGCAGTATTTCAATATGAGGAGGAAAATGAGAGTACCCCTAAACCTTTTTTTTTAAAAAAAAAAAAAAGCAAAAAAAAGTACTGCATCTATCTGTTAATCTTCCTTGGGTTATGATGAATACTCAAACACAACATATTCAACCCCACCCCTCCTTACAAACACAGCTTCTGGCATAAAATAAATTGTGAGTCTAAAGCCATTATCAGAACCTTAATGGCAGCTCTTGATATCACACATACACACACTTGTGATGAAGATACTGACTCCAGTTTCAAGATGTAGAAGTGGGTTTTGTGTGTTGTTGGTTTTTTTGTATTTGAGCATTCTCTGTAGCCTACCTAATAATTTCACACACACTCAGTCATTTTAGGAAACACTTGTAAGTCATTTGACATTTAATGCATCATACTTGAAGCATCTTTTGATGCTTATTTGCAAAGCTGAAATGCCATGCTGATTCTTGTGGAAGAATAAACAGGAAACATCTGAACTGTACAAGGAGATATCAAGAAACAGGGGTTTAAGCTAACATAGTACTAAGGCAATTGTTTCATCACCAGCATTTCTGCTTGTGCAACAGAAAGCTATCCCTGTATCCTCCTACTGAATGCCCCCACAAATAAGATACGACCAACCCTCTAGAGCAGATTAGGGGAAGCCGCAAGATGTGTGTGAAATGGGAGGATATGGGCAGAGCCGTCTTTCCTATTGGGCTTACTGGCGTGTTGCGCCAGGGCGCTGGCCTCTCAGGGGCGCCCCAGTGAGTGGGGGAGCTGCACGGCTTTGCCGGCAGCCTCCCCTTTCCCTGCATGCCTGCCAGCTGTGCCCTGTCAACCATATGGCTGGCGGGCGTGCAGCTTGCCTCCCAAGCCTTTGTGGGAGGAGAGTCATCCCTGTAGAGGCTTAGGATGGAAGCTGTGCCCTGCCAACTACCGTATTTTTCGCTCCATAAGACGCACCAGACCATAAGGCGCACCCAGGTTTGGGAGAAGCCAGAACAGCAAGAGGGATCTGGCTTCTGGGATACTGTGTGGCTGTTCTGGCTTCTGGGATAACCGCACCAAGCCTCTTCAGGGCAGCAGGATGAAGGCTCCCCCTGCCTGAAGAGGCTGCGCACGGCTAAGGCAGAAGCCAGGACACGTGCGTTGCTGAAGGGGCACTGCGCAGTTCTCCTTCTCTGTGCAGCGCCTCTCCTTCGCAGGAGAGGCGCTGCACAGACAGGGAGAACTGCACAGCGCCCCTTCAAGCGAAGCTGGAGAAGGAACAGAAGGAGACCCTTCTGTTCCTCCTCCAGCTTCGCAGGACAGTCACGAAGCTGGAGAAGAAACAAAAAGAGTCCCTTCTGTTTCTCCTCTGGCTTCGCAGGACAGGTGTTGCACAGCTCTCCCTCTCTGCGCAGCGCCATTCACTCCATAAGACGCACTCACATTCCCCCTTACCTTTTAGGAGGAAAAAAGTGCGTCTTATGGAGCGAAAAATACGGTATACAGCTGGCAGGTGTGCAGCTTCCTTCCCACCGCAGGAGGAGAGCGATCCCTGCAGAGGCTTGGGAGAAGGTCAACAACTCTGCGAAGGGGGGGCGCCTGAGGGATCTTTGCACCACGGTGCCGGATATGCTTAAGACGGCCCTGGAGATGAGGAAGAGTCTTCAGGTTACATACGCTTCAGGTTACATACGCTTCAGGTTACAGACTCCGCTAACCCAGAAATAGTACCTTGGGTTAAGAACTTTGCTTCAGGATGAGAACAGAAATCATGCTCTGGAGGCACGGCAGCAGCAGGAGGCCCTATTAGCTAAAGTGCTTCAGGTTAAGAACAGTTTCAGGTTAAGAACGGACCTCTGGAATGAATTAAGTACTTAATCCAAGGTACCACTGTACATCGCCTATAAAAGTATCTGCACACTCTTTGCCTCCCTGTCAGAGCAGGAAGAATCAAGCAGGAAACGCAGAAAAGAAGTCCAACTTTTGTTTACCATTCATGGGCACAAAACCCAGGGATTGGTTCTCAGGGGACGCAGAGCTGTGAATTCAATATTTAATTCTGTGTTTTTAAATTAGTTTCAGCTCCAGCGAAGGCTTCTGGGTATTTCCACATTACTGAAAACAGGGCTGCTTCCTGAGAACATTAACATGGAAGCGAGTCCATCGATTCTGAGTCGGTATGCTTAGGACTGTAGCTTTAAACATAATACCTTTATTGCTTCATTGATCCATCAGTCTGAAGTTAAACAAGAAGTTAATTGTCTGAATGCCAGGTTCTTTGATAAGAAACAAACAAACAGGTAAGTGAAGAGAATCAAAACAGAAATGAAATAAAATGTGCCAGTAAGGTGCAATGGTGGAAATAAGCCTAATGAATTGTATACACTGATGGATTTGAATTGGCTGTTACAGTCCAGAAAGAAACTTTATGGGCAAGACAGGCTCCAAAGTAGCTGAACTAGTGAACTGAAGTCCTGTTAGTTTGTTCTTCTTTCTCACCGTGTGAGAGGGATAGCATGCATGAGCCTGTTGGCCACCCCTCATCAATGGACTGTGAACTTCACAATTTTTGAGTATTTCCTTAAGTCCATAAAAACTGATGCAATAATAAATTTGTTAGTCTTTGAGATAACTTATTCCATGTCTTCCTTTTGGAGGGAAGGGATCCCCTACTTTGAGAACGACATCAGGGAACCCAATCACCATACAATGTATATGGCCTAAAGTTTTGCATGAGTTCCTGTTTAGGATATTGACCAAGGCTGAAAGACAAAAACAACCAGCTCTGTGTGTACTTCTCAAACAGCAGCCTTCCATATTGCATGGCAGACTCTTGCTTGAGGTCTGACTTAATGTAGAGCAGATTCCTATGCTCCTAATGATTCACAGCAAGGAAATATCCATTCTCTCTCGGGGGGAAACCAAACTGAAAAATGAAGGATCATCTGCTAAAATGAAAGGCTTAAGGGAAAACACAAAGAAAGACTTTTTCATATGATGTATGCGCGCTGTTGATGAAGCTCCCTGAAATAGGATAAATGGCGAGCAACGTAAATAGTTTTTCGAAAAAGATTCTTGCAAATATTCCATCTAAGAGGAAAGAAGAAGAAAATCCTCCTCTTATTAATGGATTGCACATTCAGTTACTGTGAAAATGACATCAACACGTTACTTCCAGATGATGCAAAACGGAAGCAAGGAAGATAACTTTTCTTTAATTTAAAACCCTTTCAGCATTTATTTTTTTTCTGGGTAGAGAGGCATAAGGTGAATGAGTGGGCATGTATTTGCTGCCATGAGCATGACTAGCGTAAGTGATGTAAAAAGGTGAGGTGCTGCATTGTTTCTTTTTAACTCT